TGCTGCACTTGGGCAGTAGTAACCAGCAGCACACTTATAAGACGGGAAACTCCCTTCTTGAGAGCACGGAGGCTCAATGTTCCTAGACTCCAAGATGAACATGGGCCGACAATGTGAGGTTACGGTTGGCAGATGCTATCGTGCATCCACAGGTGCATCTCAAGTAGGGCCAAGGAGGTGATCCTCCCCCTCTACGCGACACTGGTCAGGCCGCAGCTGGAGTACTGTGTCCAGTTCTGGGCACCCCACTTCAAGAGGGATGTGGACAGCATGGAGAGGGTCCAGAGGAGGCCACCCACATGATCCGGGGACAGCAGGGCAGACCCTACAACGAGAGGCTATGGGACCTGAACCTGTTCAGCCTTCACAAGAGAAGGCTGAGGGGGGACCTGGTGATTGTCTATAAACTCACTGGTGGGGCCCAGAAGGGTTTGGCAGAGACCTTGTTTCCCCTAGCACCCCCCGGGATAACAAGGAATAATGGCCACAAATTGTTAGAGAATAGGTTTAGATTAGACATCCGCAAGAACTACTTCACAGTCAGGGCGGCTAGGATCTGGAACCAACTTCCAAGGGAAGTGGTGCTGGCTCCTACCTTGGGGGTCTTTAAGAAGCGGCTCGATGCCTACCTGGCTGGGGTCACTTGAGCCCAGTTTCCCTCCTGCCCAGGCAGGGGGTCGGACTTGAAGATCTACAAGGTCCCTTCCGACCCGACTTCTATGATTCAATGATCAGTGAGCCGGGTCCTGCCACAGCTGCCCCGAGGGCTGCGTGAAGCGGGGCTGCCCCAGCAGCGCCTGATTGGAGGAGCTGGGGACGGGTTCTGCCCCTTACCCCCGGCGCGTGGCCGGGGGAGCTGCAGCATGGCCTGCACCCTGCCCGCGTGCATGGTGGACGGAGGCATGAGGTAAGTTCCCGCGCGGAGCTGGGGGTGCCTCGGGGCCGGGCCGGGGCAGACGGAGGCACGAGGTAAGTTCCCGGGGTAAGTCTTATTGTCACTTCCTGCAACTTCATTGGTGTCAAAGGTCACGTGACATCACTTGCTGATGTCATGTCACTTCCTGTGAGGTCTTTGAATATGGCTCGCTCGCCCACTGGGTGATAAAATGTTCATGATCCGGCCCTACATTCAAAAAGGATGGACACCCCTGCTCTAAATGTACTTGCTCCTAAATGGACTAGGGACTAGAGTCAGACCCAACCAAAGCCCTGGACGTAGCTGTAACCCAGTGTTGTGTGTGTGATGTCTGGGTCTGACATAATTAAGTCTCAGCACTTCCAACCAAGCTCAGAGATGCATTTTCTTCACGCTGGAGGTGAAGAAATCCTTCGCAATGCCCATGACAGGAGCACTGCTGTTTCGCAGGGAGGTTGTTCTCCACAGTCTTCACAGCAGGTCCTTCTTCTTCATTAAGAACTAAGCTTGAGCCTTGTGCTCAACACACAAATATACCGGTAGCCCCCACAAGTTGGAAGACCCATGAGCAAATCTTATCCCTAGAAGAGGTTTTTGCTCCTTACAAACCTCCTCATCACCTCCTCATTAGGCACCAGCACCATGCCACACTCCAAACAGACCCAGCCTGTCTGCCAGGGACAGAGGTTAACTACAGCGATGTCTCCACCCTCCATCAGTCTTAGGGTAGTTTTGCTTATGTGGTGAAATAGCTGGAAAAATCCTCCAATGCCTCCTCACCACAACACAGACAGGCCTGGACATGGGCTTTGTCCCAGGCTGAATGGGAAAGTGCCTGGGAAAACACTGGTGACACCTCTCTGAAGGTTGAGCAAGCACCACAGCAATGGATGTAGAGGGGCAGGCATAGCTGGGCATGAACAGGGTCCCATAGGGATGGCAAGCACAGCTGGGAGGAGTTCAGAGAGCTTGTGGTTATCACTGGGGATGCCCTTTGAGCCTGCCCCATCTCCTGAAGGGTGACTCAGCCACTGGTGTTTGAAGCCATAGTTTTGATTCAAAGGTGTTTGAAGCCTGGTTTTGGTGCCGGCAGGTATCTCACCAGGTCCCTCAGACCAGCTCTCCCAAAGGTTTGCAAGCTGGAGCTGCTCTTTATATGGGTTCCTGCCATGAAAAACTTCCTAAGCTGACCCCTCATTAGACCCATACCTTCTATGTGGTGGAGATGCTCCCTAATGGGGTTCCTATAATTAGAGCCCTGCTCCTGTAAGGCCCAAAGCTAATTTTCTATTAGTAACTGTCCTTCCTATGGGGTGATAGGACCTTATCTCCAGAAGGCTCTGGACAAACAATCTCAACCAATTCGCCGGGCTGAAGGAAGTTTCCCCAGCCCGAGCAGGGCTGTGCGGTGTGGCAGGAGCTGCAGCTGGATGCAAGGGGAAAAAAACAGCCCTGCTGAGCCAAGCCAGCTTCC